AGTAACAGACGTTAACTGAAAGCTTTTGTTGTTATGACATTTTTGGGGACAAAATTAGAATTTTGATTTAGTTGGATAACCTTTTGATTCCCTGTTCTCTGGTTGGTATCTATTTATGTTTATTGTATATTATGGTCATTATTAATAACTCATAGATAACATTGGGTGGAAGAAACTTCTTTATGGAAAATAAAGATCAAAGACATATTAAGTTCTATACTCATGGCCAAGTCTCAGAATTCATATTAATGTAAATAGATTTAGGTTTCTGTTACACAGAGATTAGTAATGTCTTTCTAGTCCGTGCCAAAGAGAGAACACCTGCAAACATAGCTGATCATCTTAATAAATGCTCTTTGAAAATAGTAAGTAATTGACATTTTAGAGTTTATAAAGTATTGCTCACATTTTGTTCTCCCAATAACCATATGAAGTCAGTAATATTTATTCGTTTTACAGATGGGAAACTTCAAGTTCAGAAAAGCTAAGGGATTTCCCCGGGATTACCTGATTTACAAATGTCAGAGAAATTTTAATTTAAGGTCCATACAGTGCCCTGTTATATATGACTGTGATATTTTCCTTAAATCAAAAGAGTCATAAACTCTTTTTATGTAGATTATCTCTGTAGTATTTCTACTGTATTCTACTGAATATAAAATCACTGATGATTTTGGAGAGTAGGCAAAAGTGGGTCTAATTCTATACGCAACTATGGTTAGATTCCAGAAACTCTGACTTTCACCATGTTATTTTATTAGTTCTCAAGAGTCATTTAATACAACCTATTTAGCTTTCATTAGTTCTGTTTTTCTTATGACATTTGTAATTAAAATTCACTGATACTATTTTTCACATTAATAGTTTCTTCCAGCTGCCTCTAATTTTTAAAATAGGTAGCTAACAGAATACAAGTATAGAAAAACTCCATGGGTTTGCTACAGATCCAGATTCTAATGAGAATCCAGGGGAAAAGAAATAAAGGAAGCAACACTGTTTCTGAATTTTTCATTTCTCATGGCTCAGTTCTCATTTGTCATGTCTGGAACTCATTTTGTCTTAGTCTTCATAGCCTGATGCTTGTTTCTGATGCTGGTCTAATCCACACTTTAAATAAACTATTTAAGTTCTCTTCTTGGTAAATGTCAAGGGAAGAGAAGATACTTCATGCACCTTCAGCATCCTAAAATCCTTGCCAGTTCTACAAATCTGACTCTGCATTATCCTTCCCCAGAAGGAGACCATAATTTCATTATCTATGAATCATCACCTCTTAGACTGTAACATCATTGTCAGAGAGCCTAATAGAACCAGTGTTCAGCTGACTGAAAAGGCGGAGGGAGGGAGAGAGCACTGGGGCAAAGAACAGGTCACTGCAATGATCAACAAACTGAAGCGTTCTAGAGCCGGAAGGGGAGGCCTCCCTCATTCCGCAGCTCAGACACTCCTGACTGGCAAATAACTGATACTGGTTCTTTCAATATTAATAGTGAAATTTGTTTTCCCCAACCCAAATTACATTATATCCGAGTATTCTACCTATGTAAATACTCCCACCTACTGATATTCGGCCAATGCCGATGATTTTAAATACGTTAAAGTATTTCTTATCTATTTTTTTGTTATGTTATTACTTGTTCTTCATCTTAGGACATTTATTTCTAGCCCTCAGCTCCAGTTTTGTGGCCTCTGGGCATTACTAAGTAAGTCAATATACAAAATATAAAGTCACAATGTTACACTATAACTATGTTTCCAAGGGGGAGGAATTAAATAAAAGTAAAATCGGATTCATGTATCAAAAACTATATGTTGAAAACCACACTTATATAGGAATTTAGGATGAAAACTAACAGAATGTTTGAATAGCTGTGGTTAGTCTAACCAGCCACTGGAGGTCACTGCTGCTCCATAGAAATACAGTTTATTGCCTCCCTGTCTGGTTAGGTAGTTGGTTCACCAAATTAAGTTAAAAAAAAAAAAAGGTTTAAATTATTTGAAAAGATGTAATGTCAACATCTTTAGAAAATATAAACAAATTTAAAAGGAATATATCTTGGATAAGTATTGCTTAGAAGACTGTGGCACTCTGAATATATTAACTCCTGTTAATATATTAACAGTGCTGCGGTAGCACTGTGTGTATTGGGGTTCATAAAAATTAGAAAAAAAAACATACTTTTCAAACACTAAACTGTATTTCCTCTCTCTCTGGTAAAGCATTCAAAGACTGAATCCATTCTGCATTGATGCATCTCTGTTGTATAGTTCAACAGGTCAGGCTGTTTATTTAACTGTTGTCTAGTTGGGGCAGAAAATGAAATATCAACGAATATGCACTGAGTTTAAAATACTTATGAAGATAGATTTATGGCTTGCAGTCCAAAATTTGCCATGGGGTGGGTGTGAAGACAACAAATTTTGAGCAGGAGAACATTAACCAGTCAGCTTTGCTAAATTTATAGTGGTGAACTAGTGATTGTCTAACCTACAAGAATTATATACTGAGAACTAGAGATGCTTCATTCCCAAAGAGATGGAAAAGAATTTTTTTATAATTTCATGTTCTGAATCAAAATTACTTTTACAATCTAAGGAATTTTATTTTGGTTCTTCTCTAGTATTAAATTTATATATAGCTAAAGTTAGGCATTAAAAAATGACCAGCCTTCAAATTTTGGTTATTCATGTAATCTTAACACACCAAGTGGTTTTGAATTTTAGAAACACTTTTAAAACAACAAGCATATTTTATATATACTAGCAGTACCAACCACAGAATTGAGAATTTTCAAAAATTTCAAAATATAAAGGTAAATATACCTTGCCTAAATTTATTTGGTACCCATGACAAATGAGGCAGAAGTTCAGATCAAAGAATAGAAAGGGGCTTTTTCACTTTAACACTGCATTTAATTAATACAATCATCTTTAGTACAGGTAAAAATGAGGCTGACCAAAGAAAATTTCTTTTTTTAGATGAAATATGTATTTACTGACATTTTATGAAAAATGTAAAATTACAACTTCAGTGAAAAACATCACAGTAGGTTCAGTTATCCAGTTCATAGTACTGTGAGGAATTATTTGCATTATTAATCAATTGGGAATCTGGGACTATTTGCAATTAATAAATGTATATCCAACAGTTATCCATGGACAAATATATTATAGCTATGATGCTTCTCTGAACTGGTATCTATTTAAGATTTAAGCAAAATCAAAGTACCTTGAAAAATCTACTTTAGATGTTCCTTTTTCTTTATTGCTTATAAAAGTATGATTTTTATAATCTGGCTTCTTTGCAATCATATCTCATGGTGACTTGCCTAGATTTTTCCTCTCAGCATATGAAAAGCCTCCAAACTATATAAAAATGCTGGTAAAAATAGCCATTTACTTTTTCTTTTTTGCTGCAGCGATTCTGTTTTGAAAGAACAGGGGCATGGTTAAAGACATAGGGCTTGACAAGTCAAATTAAATGAAACAGGCTCAGTGTTGCAATTTGTGATTTTTGCTCCCGTAATGGAATTGTTCATTTTAGAGAATGAAAAGCAGACTAAAGACATTTTTCTAAAATCTAAATGAACTGTAGTCACAGTTACTTAAATACAGAAGCTATGATATTTGTGCTGCAGTCAATAAACTTTCACCATTGACATAAAAACATGCATGCAGCTTGCATATTGCCAGCAGGGTCTGTACAGATTCATACTGATGAATGGAATTCACAATACAGATGAACATGGGGACACTGTAACATCAGCACTGTAACATCAACAATAGAGAAACAAAAGACAACTGCCATGGGGTTGGTCTTTTTTTCTTGTAAGATTTATTTTATCTTATTAAGGTGTTGTCAAAACTATCCTTTTCAATGGGTGGTTGAAATTGAGCCTCAAAATGTGTTGTCTACACCTCTGAATGAAATGTCAGTCATCAGGGGACTGGCATGTGTGCAGGGCATATAGTGAAACACAACAGGACAGCCTGACAAATTCCAAACAGAAGAACAGACAGAGCTCATGATTCCACTCCCTACATCAGGGTCCTAGAAGAGCTGGAAAGAGAAATTCTGGTAAGCTTCTAACCACATGCGTTTAGCAAGCTGCATTCCCGTTTGCAAGCCTCATCTCTGAAAACTTAAGGAGAGGATGTGTGGAAAAATCTGCCTCCTCAAGTTTGCCTCTTTCCTATTTTATTTATTTATTTACTCACTCCCTTTGGATATGTGGAGGCTAAGAAAAATTGACAGTGAAACCTCTACTGTGATTTTTACAGAGATGGATTTCAGAGACAAGGCTTCAAGTCTAAACTTTGTGTTTTTACTGTCTCCTCACATTTTGCAGTCATCTACTTGCAACAATTTAACCCTTCCACAGTTTTCCTTAGGCTTGCTTTATTGTAATTCAAACACGTCTGAAAACTGCTTCTGGTGCTGCTTTAGCAGAGCACGGTCTTTCAATAGTTTCCTGCAATTTTCTTTTTAAGCTAGGCGTTATTTTAAGACTGCCTCTAAATGTTCCTATAATCAAGTCATCTCCTAGAATCAGTTTCAGCTCCAAGTACCTGGGATCATTCAGGTTTTCCTTGATTTACCAATGAACTGCAAACCTTCTCAAACTGTAAATTTGGTCCTCCCAGAAGGAGAATAACAGCAGATGTGAGGGATCACTTATGAAAGAAGTTTTATCTTAAAACAAGTGTGACATTAATGGAATCAATAAAAGGTTGTATACAATAGGCATTATATTAAACCAGAATTCAAGCTTCACATTGATTGTGGTATTTAAATTTCAATGGGTTAACTATGTATGAAAGGAAAATGACCCGTATTATGCATGTACTAAAACAGACGGGGAAGGAAGGACTTTCCCAGCAGAGGGAGAGGGAGAGGGGTGGGGAGAGGGGTACCACGTTCCCTTTATAGTCACCAGAGTTCAATAAAGCACCACTTATTTCCCAGCTTTTAAGAGCGCTTTGATCACAATGGTTCATACCTCACACTCCCTGGAGCCTGATTTGTTATAGGTGCAGGGTCCCGTCCCGTTCAGCAGCATCTCGCTGGTCTCTGTGTTGGTGGGTTTATAATCTACGTAAAATTCCTGGGTGCTGGGAGTCATTTGCTTTAGGGACTGTCGTTTCTTTTTCCTGTGTCTTCTCATGAGGGAACGCTGCTGCAGCTGCTTCATGCTGGCAGGATACCGCTTCCACGACACGTAGATGACGAGCAGGATGACAAGCACAGACAGGAAAAGGGCCACGCTCCCTGCGATGATTTTATGAAAAGAGATGTGCTCAGTGTCAGCATCAGTCTCGGGGCCAGGCTCCGTGGCCCCCACCGTGGGGGGCAGAGGGGGCTTGCTTTCATGCTTCGGCCTGGGGAGCTTGGGCTTAAACGTTGGCTTGGGGAGCGCCCTGGCCAGATCAAACCTCTCTGTGGTACTTTTGCCACAGATGCTGTAGTTCTTCACTGCATCAATCACATTTACTCCTTGCAGCTCTTTGGGACTGGCACAGATAATTGTATTCTCCCTCAGTCCTTTAAAACTTTTCAGCCAGTTTACCAGGGAACAAATATTTCTGCTGCATTCCCATATATTCCCGGCAAGACTGATGTCATTGAGGGATATCCAAGAATCCAAAATCTCTTGACCAATAAATGTGAGCTTGTTGGAATCCAGGTTGAGGCGCTGCAGATTTGGGACGCACTGGAAAACACTAGGTCCACTAAAAGCTTCGATCTCATTGCCTGATAAATCAAGCCTTTGTAATGAGCTCCAGGTCCAGGACATGGTCTGTCCTATGACACTGATTTTATTCCACTGCAAGTAAAGGTTCTGAAGGCTCACCAACCTTGGAAAAAGGGCCAGATTGAGCTTAGAAAATTGATTGTGCTCCAGGTGAAGTTCTTTGAGTCTGATCATACCAGCAAAGACATTCCTGGCTAAACTTCGGATCCGGTTATATCCCAGGTCCAGAAGTTCCAGGTTGCGGCAGTCTTGGAATATTCGCACTGGGATGGTTCTCAGGGAGTTAGACCGTAGATGTAAACTCAGCAGCTTTCGCAAGCCCCGAAACTGTTCAGATCCCAGAGAATGCAGCTGATTGTAGGACAGATCCAAGTTCCGTAAATTTGTCACAGGTCTGAAGGTATTGTTGAGAAAATAGGAGATTCTGTTGGAACTCAGAATCAACTCTTTGAGTCTGCGTATTCCATTAAAAGCATTCTCATCAATATTGCTGATATGGTTATGGTCAAGGTACAGCCAGGTGAGCTGGTTGAGCCCTTTGAATTGATTATACTTAAGTTTTTGAAGGCTGTTATAGCGAAGGGACAAACCTAAGCAACCAGCAGATATACTTGAGGGTATCTCCTGTAATTTCTGAGATTCACAATATACCATTTTGCCTTCACACCTACAGCCCTTAGGGCATCCTCGTTCAGCAGAAGAAAGCATTGTCAGTAAGACAGTGGGGGCTATAACCAGTGCTACAGCTGATCCGCTCAGTAGCCTAATTACATTGAAACCTGGAAATAAAAACAACTTAGAAAAGTTATCCCCCCAAAAAAGAATGAATTTATTTTTTAATCAAGCAAAAATAAGCATATATTTTCTTTTTTAGAAATTTCAACGTACAGAACAATATTAAACATCAAATATCATCTCCTTATCATTTAAAGAGAATTGTCTTTAGGCTTTTTTTTTTTAATAGTTAAGCAAGGAAACATGTTCGCTAAGCAGTTGAATTTATAGTCTCCGAGCAGAGCAAGGTAATCTCTACAATAATTAAGGCAGAATTAATATACAGACTAGTGGATTTTTTTGTTTTTGTTTTTTTAAGAAGAAAAGAAGAAAAATGACAAAACATACCCATCCTTTGTATTGTTCAAAGGTCGTCCTTAGGTCTTTTGCTTTGGCTTAGGGGGCCACTTGCGTGACAGCCCCTGTCAGCTGCACTGTAGTGAGTCAGGGCTTGCTGACACCCAGGAAGAAAAATTGGACCCCTTGGGAGATGGACCGATTTTGGAACATTATTCTTTGCCAGCCACGCAGAACACTCCAAGAACAAATAAATCCCAACACCGCATTCGCAGCAAAACATCAAAATCTTCCTAGGTAATAGGATCTTCATGGATATTACGTTTTTGCATCTTTACAGTTTTTTTTGGTGGGGGGGAGGTGGTGTTAAAAAAAAAAAAAAAAAAAACCTGGCTTCTACAATTTCTTCTTATCAGAAAGCAAGATGTATTCCTTCGGGCAACATGAGGCTACCTGAGCTGCCACATCTGTATTCCATAGCCCAGCATTTCTGGTGGCGAGCACCCAGTTCAGCCACAGAGCTGCGTTGGAGCCCGGAAGGCAGGAGAGCCCTGTATCGCGCACACGCTCAGCTCACTTCTGCAGACTGTCATTCTGAAAGCCGCTCAGACTGTTGCTTTGGTTTCAGTGAATGCAGTCTTATGTAAAGCTGCCCCCAGTGGTGAAGAACATTATGGGCATGTGCAGAAATGTCTCTCTTTTATCTTGCAAATGAGCAGGCTCTCTGCTGGAAAATGAATGATTCTTTTGGGTGGCTCAATAGGAACTGAATGGTCACCGTAATCAATAACTAGCAACATTTTCTGTAATTTCCAAGTCTTGTTTTACAATTTGGCAATGTCTTTATTGTCTGCGTCCACTTAATCGCTAAACATGTGCTGCCCAGAGTTTTTCTGGAGCTTGACATGAAGTTCACAGACCGAATGTCAATTTTTCTTAACCTCAACGTAGGCTTGGAACTGAAATTTATAAAATGAATTATTGAGCTTTTCACAGAGAAGCATTAACTGGCTGCCCATTTGACCTCTTGGAGTCACAATGATTATATTATACAAGATGTCTCAGGATGCTAGCACACATACATTTTGGAAGAGAGAGGATAACTAATGACATATAAAGTAATGTGTCCTATAACCTTTCTGGTTTTCCCACAAAAGACATAATTAATTTAATTGCTTATGACTTGGTTTGTTGTTTTTCTTGCTGTCATTTGATCTTTTTTTTTTTTTTAATTAGAAGAGAAATAAACCCTGTTTAGTGTGAGTACGAGAATCAAGAGAGCACTTGGTTCAGTTTGTTGATACTGCTGGTGTTTATTACACTAATATTTATTGAACCATTTCTAAGATAGCACTTCAATGGGCTATCTTATTCTATCTGTAAACAATATGATGATGTAGATCCCATTATACCCTTCATTTTAAAGATGAGGAGACTGAGACTGGGAAAGGTACCTTGCTCAAAGTCATATAGTAAGTGGTAGGATTGAGATTCAGAACCATATCTCTCTTATACTTGAACCTCTAACCACTAGATGATCCTGTTTGAATAGCATTGTCATCTTCACTTTAAAATGAGTCAAATGAGAATTAGCCTGATTAAGTCATTTTGGCAAAGAAGCTGTAATAAAATGAAATTCTCGATTTCTAGAACAGGTTTGCATAAGCTTCTTTGATATACGTCTTCTAATAAGTAGTCTAAAAACTAAAGAGGAAAGGCTTAGTCTAGTGATTAAGAGGATGAATTTTGCACCTAGGTTCAAATCCTGACTGTATTTTACCAGCTCTGTAACGTTGACTATGTTTCTCATCTTCTCTATGCATTAGTTTTGTCTTCTACAAAATGGGCATCATAACAAAATTCTATTTAATAGAGAATTTGAGAATTAAGTCATCTCCATATCTGTAGAGTATGAACATGACATAATCTTAGACTAGTATGTGACACTTAATAAGCCTGTGTTAACTGTTATTTGAATAATATCAACTTTTCTATACTTGCTGATATTGAATGTTATTTAGTATTGAATAGTGACTATCGTGACTGTCATTAACTCACAAAGAACTATTTTATTGAATGTTTTTTATATTGTTTATAATGGATTTCTGAGATGCTCTCAGTCTTGCCTTCTTTGATGAGAAGTATTCGTAAATCTCCATCATCTCAACTTTATCTTTAAAATGAATATTTAAAGTGGACCGTAACTTGTAATTAATGTTTGCTTTTCTTCAACAGAGCAGAATATGGTTACATCTGCCCCACAGAGAAAACCATATTGTTTAAAAATAAATGGTAATTTAATTTTTCTTTTTAAGTTTTCCTTGCTAGTCTTTGTTAGGTGAATTGGTTGTGGAAAATCATGGAAAGCTTTCATATTTTCAAAGGAAAATATGAGGCTCGGTAACAGTTATGATAAGCAAAAGGGGCCGCCTAGGTACAGTCAGATTTCTCATATAAGATGCCATTAATAGGACAGTGCGTGCAGGCTAAGCCACTTCAGTCATGTCTGACTCTTTGTGACTCTATGGACTGTGGCCCGCCAGGATCCTCTGTCCACAGGATTCTCCAGGAGTGAGTTGCCATGCCTTCCTCCAGGGCATCTTCCTGACCCAGGGATCGAACGTGTGTCTCTTATGTCTCCTGCATTGGCAAGCAGATTCTTTGCCACTGGTGCCACTTGGGAAGTGTTTCCTCCCAAATTATTATGCAATGAATTTACATAAATCCCCCAGAGAGCTTGTTGAAAAGGTAAATTTCCCAATCCCTTCCCCAAGATTTTGATTCAAGGAGACAGAAGAGGCTACATTTGTCAGCAGACTCTGATGGACAGCTAGGTTTAGGAAACACACTGTAAAGGACTAAATAAAAATAATAAATTTTCTCCTAGTAGGAAGATAGGACATATAAAACTATGATATTGTGATATAAGTTCTGTGAGGACAAAAATAAAGTTTTATCTGCTTTGGTTTTCCTAAAAACTGCTGTAGCACTTGGCACATTTTAGATGCTCAATAAATATTTACTGAACAGACACATTTTTATGAGGGTCAGAGTACATTTGATGTAGGATAAACTGGTTATGTAATGCTAGTCTTGTATACATAGGATTGATCTCTGCAAAATTCCTCTGCCAGTGAGATTTGGTACAATTTTGGAGAAAGTGTTCTTTAAAAATGTGTGTGAAAAGGCAAGAAATTGGGAAGTGGAAATACTCAGATGGTCAGCTTGTGATCTCACTTTTGATGTAGACATTTCTTGTCTTTATAGTTAAACTGTACATTTTTTGAGAATAGTAAATATAGGTTTGAATATTCCCTTTGGCATTTTACACCTTTTATCATCTAACATCCCAAATAGGGCTTGACAATTTGTATCTATTAAAAAAGACTAAAGAGAATACTATTTATAACTCCTCTATTATCCCTGTTGCTTGAAGGGCTCAGATTTTCCTCTGCACCATCCCTGCTTCTCTTTGGGAAGCAATCATTGCCATGTCTGTTTTCCCAACAGCTGCAGAAGGCTGCTCTAGGATGACTGGAGGTCCCAACAACTTTATGTTTTTATTCTTCTTTCATTCTATGACAGAAGCACAGATGAGCCCACTGAGAATGTAGTTTGCTTACTTTACTTTTCCTGGGATAAATCTTGGATCAATATGGTGAATAACATTTGCTGTGTGTTATACACCGTGCCATTAGCAGACATTTTTCTGGTATCTTGGCTTCTGATCTTGCCTTGCTCCATAGTTCTGACTTTACAGTCACCTTTTGGATCTCAAAGTTGATTTTTTCTCTTAATGCTGACTGTTGATCTCCTCTTCAACAGTAATCAGTAGTCATTCTTGAACTGGGTCTGACTGCAGGTTCTCTGGGTGCCTCCTACTTTGGCACTAATCCTTCAGCCAGTATCACCACCAGGTCTCTCCTGGTTCATGGTAATGAAGTGCTTGAAGAGGGAAGACCATCCATGAGGCTGGTAGAGAAATCCAAAATTAAAATAGTGAAATGCTAAAGCAGACTAAAAACTTGAGGGTACGGAAATCACTCCAAAAACATAGTCTCTCAAAAGAAAAATAAAACCTTATATTCAAAAAGATTTTACTAATTTGCTGGTTACTTTCTAAAGTTTATTCTCCTTCTACTTGTTGACTACTGCAAGATGATCATTTCTTATTTGCCTTTCAAAATAAGCAAAATTATACTACACTATGTATTTATCAAATTCATTTGCATTTAAAACCATGTACAGAACAAACTATAAACTACCTGACAAATTAAATTTCCCCAATGAATCTAGGGCCTTAATGATTTATATACTTATGGAATATAGTGTCATGTATCTAAAGACTTTTTTATTACACTTATAGTACTTCAAAAAGCTTAACATATTTTGTTTAAATTGGGCAAATAAATCCAATCTTGGTTATATAATGCCAGATTTCAGTCTAATATAAAACTGAATTGCCAAATATAAACTTAGAAAATAATTTAAAGTGGATATTGTGCTTATGCTGCTGTGCTCAGTCATGTCTGACTCTTTGCAACCCCATGGACTGTAGCCCACCAGGCTCCTCTGTCCATGAAATTTTCCCAGGCAAGAATACTGAAGTTAGTTGTCATTTCCTCCTCCAGGAGATC